TTACTACTTTGTCTTGTTTTAAATACTAAATCACTTTGTATATCTTTTTAAATATTAATGTAATATGTAAATATACTAATATATAATGTACTGTTACATCCAATGGCCATAGACGCCGCGGATAGTTGTTTAATAAAAAAAAAAATAGTATTATGTGAATTAGCATTTCATGTAATACGTAAATGATAGTAACCAAATAAATGAAAAATGCACAGTTTCAATACTAAAATTATATTTAAAATAAATGTATCATAATATAATAATATTAGGTTACTAAAAATATTTATATATTATATATTTTATCAAATAAATATATATATATATATACTATATGATTATCAATGTAATGATAAAATAATGATAATAAATATTAAAATTAAATATATTATGGAATTATAATATAAAAAAATGCATTTTGTTTTTATAGCAAAAACACTAAATGCCCTGTACAGAGCTTAAAAACTAATAGGTCTGTTAGTACAACCCCTATATAAAGAGCACAACATAATATTTTCTTACAGACATAATATTTCCACACTACTCGATACCAAAATTTAATTTACCCTTCATAACTACGCAAAAAATAATTTTTCTGCCTTGGAAAATGATTTTGGAAAATTAATTATTATAATAACGCCTTTCCGGGCACTCATAATCTTTACACGTTCTAGTCGCTCGCATCAATTAGTTGCTCGTTAGATAGAGGTTGTTCTAACATAACGTGTTTACGCACGCACAAACACTGAATAAAAAAGATATATAATATGTATGTATAACTCTACTATAATATATTAAAATACACTTCTAACTTACTTAAGAAGACGTTTCTAATACAATAATAATAAAATTATCTGAATATTTACAAGCGAAAAGTGAAAAGAAAAATTCTTGATCATTTTTAAGTTATTCATCAGCTATTGAAACGAATGACAATAACATTAATGTAATGACGACGTAACGGATTATTAATATAACAGTTTTAAGGTATTATAGTAGAACATTACAATATTAAAATATATAATACTATAAGATACGACTTTAGATACTTTGTGTTCAATATTATTATACAATATAATGTTTATCCAGGTAGGTACTATTAAAACAGATTTCGTCTTGTCTGTGCAACCGAAATTGATCGACAATGACACATTATGTGAGAGGAAACATARCGAATCGATGAAGGGTTGTAGGAATGGCGAGCGAGAGCGAAATTATTAATAATTGTGCCTATATAATAGGTCGATAGAGAACTAACGTACTGATAATTTCGTCGTGTGAGGGCAAACGAGCATATTATTCTATCCTGTCGGTTTGGCGGCGAAAACAGTTATGCGCGTGTGATTCAGCCCTTTTCTATTGCAAAATACATATCATGATCAGACTGCGTCGTATAGTATGCCTATAATAGGTTATATTTCTAGTGAAGATATCGATGTGATTTATTCCTCTCAACCGCGAACTACGAGGTACGATACACTCGCTGTGCTGAAACCTCGATAAAACCTGTCCGTCACGGATGCAATTATTTCGCATTTCGTACCTATATGTCTTCGCGTACCCAGGAGTTATAACATGATATGGAGGTCACGACGTCATATGAACGTTGTTATCACGGTTGGTATCTAACCAAATTGGCCATTMGTCGCAGAAACTGAATAACGGCTAATAATAATCAAAATATTATCGCGAACGTCTATTCTGAGTACGGAAAACCTTCGTTCCGTCGACGGCGTGAAAGAATTATTTAATATATTATTTGATACTRTGTTAAAATATAGAAAAGCCACCRACCGGAGATTGATTTTATATTATTATAATAATTATGTTTTCGAGAATTAATTACGTAATATGAACGCATTTGTTGCATGCTTATCATAGAATATTGRAAAATAGCAACTACCATAATATTATATAGTATAATAATTTATAGTAAGTATATGAATTAATTGATAAAATATTATTTATTACCTTTTTTTTTTTACTTAGTATGGCCCATTTTAGTTTATTCTCTTCTTATTATTAATAATAATTGAAAAAATTACATAAAGATGTCGTTGATTTCGTATGAATAGTGCATTAAACCTTAATTAAAGTATAATATTATCTGTCCTGCAACGAGACATGATCGGAGGGACAGTATAATATTTGTATTATTATTATTATTATTATTATTATTATTATTATTATTATTATCATCATCATCATCATCATCATCGTCGTCGTCGTCGTCGTCGTCCATCATAATCATCGCGTTTTTCAGACAGATATTAGCACATACTACACAGACTGGACGAGAGATATTCAGTCGAACAACAGCAGAAAAATAACGATTCGACACTTGGAGGTAGGTAAACGTATTTTATATATTATAATCTTATAGAGATGATGAACGAAAATGACGAGACCCTGTAGAACGGATTAGTGACTCAGGAAAAACGTCATCTGACCGTCACGTAGGTATGCGAAACATAATACTTTTAACATTTTCTTACATCAAATRAATACGAATCGTTCTGACTGCACGCGATCTGATCACACGGACCATCCAAAAATGTATGCACTGTAATACCGTAAAAATATGGTAATCTAGTATTTCTGAAGCGTCTAATATCCCGACCAAAATTAACAACGCAATAATAATAATAACAATAATAATAATAATAATAATGATTGTGATTTTAAAAAAAAAATATATGTATATGTAGAAATTATTATTATTATTATATGTTCGATGCGAGTGGTGATAGGAGTGTTTTGTATTGTATACACAATGTATGAAATGATAACATTATTTTAAGTGTATTTTACCTGACGATATTTTGTAAAAAATAAAGGCTGCTATTGCCATACCCCCCCTCCCCGGCGTCGGACGACCTACGTCGACTCCCGTCAGTTTATTCTGCCCTTGTGCGTGAGGAAACATCTCGCCGGCGCGGCCGCGATCACGTGATGCGCAGGATCGTCGGCGCATCCTTTGACCAGCCGCTTGGACCGGTAACACATGACGGTCAGCGCCAAGCTCAAGAAGCACAACACAGTGGAGGCGAGTGCTAGCAGACCGGCCAGTAAACCGGACCGCACGCACACTGAATTCTGGCTGTTGTCCGTGTAGTATCCGGTGGTCTCTGCAAATCGTACAATATATTATTATTATATTATTATCATCCATCACCATACGCGTTAAACGGGGTTGGACAGTCGCTCCTTTGAAAGTGGGCGAGCGGGTTGTAGGCGGTTAGGGTGGTCGTAGGATATTGTGATTGTGATGTACAAAAATAATTCGTATAAGGAGAAATAAAATATAATTATAATTCCTAATATCAAAATTGAGTTCGGCGCCACTGGGGTTGGGGGTTGGGGTTTAGGGTTGGGTCACGGAATTGATGGCATTACACGCTACAAGACGTTTAGTTATATATTCTAAAGTTGGCGCGAGACGAATGGCTGGACCACATTAACATCGTTGTTGTTGAACAATCCATCTCACGTGTCAGATTTTTCGCCTTGGACGTATATATAGATGACTCATTAACAATGTAGGTAAAGATGGATAACTTTTACAATTGTAGACCCCTTTTATAATTTGCTCATAAAAAATAAAATAGTTAAACGCGTCGCATTAATAATTATTGAAAAAGTAAACTATATATACTAAACCACTTTACCAGAGAGAATTTAATTATTTATAATTTATCATATGTTCGGTGATTATAATGATGTTAAAAAATGTCTACTCGACCCAAACAACACGCGGTGTTCTGCAGTTTGTATGTATTTACAATTACATCAGAAAATGTATATAATAAATTAATGTCCGTAACAATATAATTATGAAACGCGCACATTATTGTGTTTCAAATATTGAGTATCGTTAATTTCAAATTAATTTTAACGATACATAACGCATAAGTCCGTGTAAAAAACGTTAAGTTAACTTGGAAAAATAATGCATAATAATGTTATAGTTTTTAAGCGGCGTAAAAACAATAATTATAATGTTCTGAAATTGTGTCGTTATCACTATATCGGCATGGATTCAAATTGGATCCAAATATAAGGTGTGATCATATTAGATTTTTGAGAAAAACTACGAAGTGAGATCTTTTACCACCTGCAGTCCTCAATACATCACTAACGGCCATCATCCGTGTGGTAAACACAATTTTATCAATGTCACAATATTTGAAGCACTGCAGGTATCACGGACTATCACTGAGGCTGAGTATTAATATATATATGGTCAAACATAATATTCTTGTGGTTAAGGCGAATGAATTGAACAAAATATTATACGTCGGGGACTGCAGGAGAGGTCAGGTTAGGTTATGCCGACGAGTATACTAATTTATAACAAAAATAATAATTAATTGTGTACTCACTGTTGCTAAGTGCACTTGCGTCTTCACCGTTCTCACCCTCCTGGAGCACTCTCAACGACTGGAACAAGTTGATGTTCTGCGAAAGGGCCGCGGGTGTAGTTGCTACCTCTACGTCGGTGGATCTTTTCGATACGCTCTTGGCATTCCTCCAGTGACACGGTTGACTCTGTGCGTGGAGAAGAAAAAACAAACGAAACAAGATGGTCAGATTTAGTTAGATGCGACAGTCAATACAATAAGTGGTAAGTGAAGTACACTTTACATACAGAGTATAATGTAATGTTATAGGTAGTCAAAAATCGAGCTACAGCGATATTTTCAAAAGACTATTTTTTTTTTTTCATTAGGATAGAGAATCATTATATTTAATAACATTTCGCGACTTCGTTGATATATGCGAATTGCAAATATTAAATGAAGAATGAATTGGAGAATGAATCGGCCTTAAAACTAAGTACTTTAATCTTTTTTGTTCATTATCATCGAACATACGTAATTTATTTATTTATTTAACAGAGTTCTATCAAAGCCAAAGCAAAGGTGGTCAAATTATTGAGCTCGTGTTAAGTATCATTAAGTTAAAAAATAACAAATTGAATTCACTAAGTAAAATAATAATTAAACTCAGTTCAAAAAATGTAATCTACATTTTAATTCGTAGATATATATATATCACATATAAAGTATTTTATGCCTATTTCTAACTACATAATTTTATATTTTTGTCACTAAACATAATATTGAGCCCTATGTTATAATCATTTAAAACCATGTAATTAGTAATGAGTTAAAAAGTTATGGTTAAAAACCGAAATCGTTTTTAGCAATTTATGAATTATATAAATATTGTTGTATAGTCGTATAGTGTATAGTGTAGTCACTGATGATACGTTTCCGCTCGCATTTATTACTGTTCGGTCAAACGACACGCCTTATGGTCAAATTCGTTTAAATGGTGACTTACCGGACATCTGCCGTGACACATCCTGACATCACATTCAATGTAAAGTGCCGGTGACCCGGTGAACCTGAACGTTTTCATATAGGCGAACACTTGAGTCTCAAACACTTGACTTTCACTCCACGATCCTCTAAATCTACTGATAAGCTTGTCGTCGACGGGACACCTGCAAAAAATAGACAAAATGTCCGAGTTAAGTCATAGTTCAAAAACGTGGTGCTTGCCACTTTTCCACACAACCGTTTTAGACAAAAAAAACACTGTCGTTTATGAGGGGCTTAAAATAGGCGATTTAAACGACAGCTTAAGACAAATTTTTAAATAATATGTATTTTAAACAACTATTCGAACGCAAATTTCAATAGCAAACAATTTTTACTGATACCCAGTCACTTATATAATCATTTCTATTAGCAAAATATTTCAAAATCATAATATAGATTATTAAATTAAATGATAATGACACTGATCAGTATTTTATTACTTTTTTTTTTTTTATCACTGAAATCAAAAGAAAACAATATTTTGGATAAATTCCATGATATCCAATTGTTAATGTAAAATAAATCATGTATTAATTTTACATATTATTTTCTAAACAGCTGTAACTACCTTTTGTCTTATACTATTTCGATGAACAGATACTATAAGTCTCTGATTTTAGTAAGTTCAGCGTCTATACACTTAAAATTCAGAGGTATGACGTCCTCTTAAATATTTACTGTTTATTCATTGATTACTCTTATCATCCACAATATGGTATGTACACAAACAGATAAATCAAATACCCGGAGGTATAGGTAAGGTCCCCGACCGGAGACTTTTGACGACAGACCGACGCCATTAACAACGCGGTATTCGTGGTTTTAACACGACTAACTTATTATTATTATTATTACTATCGTCGCATTGATGTTGTAATAGTTAATGTTGATCATTGTAATATTTATTATTCGCTCACCCGTATTGATCGATAAGTTGAATCTTCTTCTGCGCTCCGTTGTGTGCGTAACAATCGTTCACCACAATATCGAAACCATCTGCAATCACATCCGGAAAAACCGTTAACATTATCGTTGTAAAACAATAATAATAATTTGTTCGATATTAATCATATTTAACGATACAATTGTACGGCGTTTGAGTGCCGATAGTTAGGCTACAATGGAAGAAAACACCTGTTCGCGCGCTTTATACCTTTCTGCGGCGGATATAGCAATTTATATTTTTGAAATTTTTTTTTTTATGCAACATGTTTCAGGAATGGTTTGCGTCGACATTAAACCGAAGGATTTAAAACGATGTCTGAAGAGTGCACAGGTGTATGCAATTCCAGTGCACGACTCGGCCATTCGTAACTCCATGTTACGATAAAAACAATAACGATATTATTATTATTATCATTTATAACTATCGCAAACATATTAATATATTATATAGACAACCTTTAAAAAAGACACAACACTGTCAACAGTGTTGTTTATTTGTGTACTACGATTATTATTAATTTACCGTCGAAGTGTGAATTATTTTTCGATGACTTTTTACTTAACCAATTTTTCTAATTTTCAAGTTTTCTAACATAGGTAATATTACTTTTGTGTAATTGGTATAAAATACAGTAAAATTATCGAAGTGTATATCGATTACTAAAATTTGACTCGCCCAATCAATAAAATACCAATTTACGAGCAACCCCCCGTTTACACTACATTCGTTTTATATCCATCGTAGTCGGTCAACGGTGCAGTGAATTCTAATGAAAACGACTCTTTGATCAAGAACGAGTGATCGCCACAGTAGGCATTTTCATAATATTATTATTATTATTATTATTATTAGCAATTAACGGCCATTACCGTATTTGCTTCTCATGTAGATGATCAAAGTCAGCGGGTCTCCCACTCGCACGGGTCCACCCACTCTGTTTCCTGTGGTGCCGTATCCGTACCGTATTTCCATGTAACACTCGGGCGGTGACAGCGTAAAGACAACTGGATTGCCGGTGGCCACCCTGCGAAAAMGGAAAACCAGAAAACGTTGACACAATTTATCGATGTGAAAAAAAAATTGTCATCGTTATAATTATTTGATGATAATTTTTTTGCCGGTATCAATTAATTTAATATTCGACAGATATCGTCTACACGTACTCAACGTCTAAAAACGGAAATGTCACAGTCTTCCAAAAGTCGTAGCCGTATTCGCAGGTCACCTTGAAGTGTTCGTCCCATTCCTCTTCGATCATCGGGTTGTACTGTACGGTTACGGTGTTCCACATGAGATTTTTCTGGAAACAAAAACAAAACTCGTCTGTTCAAAATAACGCCAAAGATATATATTTCAATATTATTATGATATTGTGACACGGCGTAGATAACATTACGTATGCCAATAAATTGCCAAAAATTAGAATCAGACCAACAATAGCCTAAGCCATAAGCCAACAATACCTAGTTTTATCAGGCTATATATCTTGTATTATTGTGGCATAAAAATAATGCCCAAAATATTGAGACGCACCACACACGTACACCAATTAATAGTAATTTATGTACAGTAAATTATTTGTTCTCATTTTTCAAATCCGTCCCACTCATTCTCAAAAAAAATGTTTATTGATCACACACTAGCAAGTCATCACCAACCTATACCATACCGACTAGTCGATCATAATATTGTTATCCTTAAAGGAAGGCCAACTGTTATTCCATTAATATTATAATTTACAATTAACACATTGTTAGTTAATAACGAGCGAAATTATTGGAATATTTGCAATTGTAAATTGTATAAAATATATAGTTATGAATAAAAAACATATATTGCATGATATGTGGCTGATATTATAGTCAGAACTGAAGCTTACCGCTGGGTTCTTCCTGGCGTCCTCTTGTCTGGAGTTCTTTCCCAAGGTACCACAACGGTTTAGCTGTATGTAAAACTCATAGTAATCCCGACCAGTGCCGTTGATGTAAACGCAATCCGGGTCATATGAATATCCTGACGAGTACAGCAGACCGCCAAATGAGCCGTTGAAACCGATGCGGATTTTCATGTAATCGTCTTGGCACTCGGCTTCGATGTCTGCGAGAAACATTGAAAAGAAAAAAAGACGTAAACAAAAATAATAATAATATACCCTATTATGTGTTTTTTTTATCATGATTGGGGTTAGTGTAATAATTGAGGTAAAGAGATGAAATAATGATTCCAGTAGGTATAATTAGCACATATTTTTACTAACGAAATTTAAGAACTAAAATCCAAATAGTTTACTTTATACGATAAAGATATTGTTGTGTGTGATTCTGCCCAAGGAAAATATTATATAGTTTTGGCTTAACGTTGAATTTATTTATAATTATTTATCAGCTATTATGTTTGTAATAATATTTAACTCTTCAAGTTTAAAGTTAATGTAAAAATGAACAATATTTACCATATTACATGATTTGGTTAAAATAAATAAATTATTACCATCTATGTCACACATGATTTAGTGATAAATACAACTTTCAATTAAATAACAATTAACCAATTCGTTAAACATTCGTCTTACTTAATTTTCACTTTTGTGGCTGTACTGAGTTAACCAAAACCAAAAAAATAAAAATGCAATTAATTTTTAGTCTCTACTACGGTAATGGACACTTATGGACCTATGAGATTTTAGAAGAACATACTATTTTTTTAGATAAGTATGTATAATGATACATACAACAGACATTTTAAGTTAAGCAGATTTTTTTTTTTTAAATAAGCAAATAATAACTAAAAGTATATGGATCTATGGCGAACGCTAGACATTGAAAATGTATATAAATATCTTACGATGACCACAACCATTTCAACGCAACATTTTAAAATTAATTTTGGTGTTCTCCAGTTGGCCCCAACAATGTTATACGGGAAATTAAACGTTATCAACCGGAATAGTTTTCAGTGTATGGAATGTGCAGTTTTATTTTAATTGCAGCCGAATTGAGTAAAATGATGCACTCTTCCGGAAATAAAACGTGTCCTTTGTAAAGGGATTTTGAAACGACAGCCAAAATAATATGTCTGTTCGCAAATGTTTAATATATCACTACCTCAATGCCTAATAATAAACGGCCATGTGGACAACTTGTGACCAGTACAAAGGCTAACGATTACGGTTTGATTAACAATTTAATTTGTCATTATTATTATCAATTTATATTATAGTCTGATGCACATCAGCCTGATTGAAATGTTAAACAACAGTATTTCAATCACTTGTTTAGAAATATTACCGGCACTGCAGGAGTACAACAAAACACAAATTGCAATATCATTATATAAAATATTTGATTTTGTTCCATGTATTACGGTTTTACGAGAAGACCAGGTATCCATTGTAGTACATCGTTATAGAGTGATTTGGTTTTTAGTTTTGATTTTACTGTACGTTTTTTTTTTTTCGTGAACTTATAATGATTTTGGGACTTGTGTTATTATGTGTAAATTATTTCCATGAAATTGAACGTTTAAAGCAATAACGAATCTGCTCGGTGCGTTATGATTACTTTTACCGTTTAAAATTCGTAACCGAAAAGTCCATTTTTTTGCTCCGGTCGTTCATAGTTGTAATACATTAATATATTATTATTTTTATATTATTACGTCGTCCGCAGAGTAATAAGACGGAAATACGACGTACAACTAAAGTTGTATTTAACCAAGTTGTGTTTATTTTCAAATATTCAGTAYGGTTATTCGATGTAACTTATAAACTTAATACGGTTCTCTGAACAATACAATATATTAATTTTTAACGGATCAGATTCAGTTTWGGAAGATAACATTTTTAATTAATTTTTTCTCGCATTATCGTATTCAATAAAYCCTATTTATAGAACAAGTTTTCCACAGAATTGAAAATATTTATTTCATACTCTTATACGATTATAGACCATATTATATTATGTGCTTATAGCGTTATTCGTTATAACTTATATAATATGCAAGAATATTACATAATATTTCATGTATTTTAGAACTTACATCAAGTGATGAATTTTATTTGGCCTTTATGAAGATTGTATTAATAATATCCATTTAAGCGCAATAGGGTAGGTATATAAAGGTACGAAATAGAAAATATTTATAATCTTTGRATTTTGGACCTTTATCAGGATTAGGAATAATAAAATGATTATAATTTATTGTTTCAACTTTTGAGAACYGCTGCCAAATTCCGCTCAATGTACCATGTGTGGGCCACATCGCTGTTCTACAACATGTAGAATGAGTTATACACCATTGTAACGTAACATTACAGTGTCGTTTCCAGGGGGTGGGCTTTTGGGCTTAAGCCCCCTCGACATTTCAGGTGAGATATTTTTTTTAGTAATGGGTAATGGGTTCATTTCATAGTGATAATGTCGAAGAGAGAGCTTAAATTTAAAATTGTGATGATTTATATTAATATATTGAATGCATAATACATTAAATAGTATGTGTATATACATATATAATTAACATTAATTAATTAATATAATTAATATATATATATAGTATATGTATGTTTTTAAATTATTTCCTATTCTCCTATAGAGCTATGCATAAATGTTTAAGCTCCCCTCCCCCTCCCCCGAAACCAATTCTTGGGTAAGACACTGTAGAATTATACATTATTGTTATATACTTGGGTATATATGTTGTTTTCTTAATGCTATTATAATTCACCTCTAACGTTTCTCAACTTCCCGCACAATATCAAAGAAATCTACGACGAAGCACAAACCCTAAACGTCATCAAGTTCATAATTATATGCAACCTCATCAACAAATTCTGACTTAGCCAATCTACCTTGCAAATACAATTAATAATTTAACTGTAAATATGTAAATTTGTTTTTTATATTTTTTCTTTTCTTCTCAATTGTATACATATTTGAATATCAAATCTGCTTTTTATTTAAAAAAAAGAAAATGTTGGCTAATAACCTTAGCAGTGGAAGCCTGTAATCTTTTAAATAAATAAAAAAAATCACCTCTGAGCTATTTTAACCTCCCATCTGCACTTTTCTTCGACTAGCACGAATTTTTTTTCATATAACGAACGAAAATGTTCATTGTTTTAAAATTGRCGCATAAAATGACGAAACTCATTCCAAAAACCGATTGAGTTACCTATTAAAACCTACAGATACGTGTGTGCAAAACGTAACTTTAATTTAATGTCGTTCACAATGAATTTCGTCGCGAGCGCGTCGTAAAGTTTTGTGCGYTTGTTTCGGGACACGTCTGCTTTTATTCGCAATGTCGCGGCGGTGCAACTAYAAATATTCTATATAGGATGGTGATTGTATAGCGTTGATTGGGCAATTCAAATAATTTAAGTCGTTTCTGCCGACCTACGATCGACAATAATAAAGAAAAGTGAGAAGACAAAAAAAACAAACGTTGGTGCTTAATATGTTTGACAACACGTGGCCGTCCTCGGGCGTTGCGGACTATTTGCTCGAGTCTTTCATTGAAATGATTTCATTGATTGTCGTGCGTATTTTCGACTCAGTTTGCCCCGTCACTAAATTATTATAGTCTATAATACGACTTTATCGAGCGGTATTTGATATTTTTTAATTTATGAAAGAATTCAATAATGTAAGGTTTCATAGTAAYTTTTGTTAATGCTTAACAAAATATTTAAAAAATTTATATAAATACGCTATATTAAATAAGATTTTTAAAATATGAATTATTGGCGCCTTATGAGTTATTATCAATATGGCTGATAATTTGATAAAAACAAAGGGGTCAATATTTATACAAATTAATTAATTATATTACTCGAATTTATTAATATATGAAAAACAACTATGATGTCATTTTTGATTATGTATATTACTATTATACACAATAGTTACTTAATTAGTATATTACATAATTTAATTTTACAATTACTTTTTTTTAATCCTGGTGGTCGCACCGATTCAATCTAAATTCGATGCTGCTCACAAAGATTTATAATATTATATAMTCATTTGTTARGCCACGTAGATTTAGATTCCAAACAAATCGTGTATGATATACGCGATGAGGGTCATATCAATTTGATAACACATTTATGAATACGATTAGATGACATATACTAGTTAGCTCGTGTCAAGCCAGTCGAGCTCAGGCAGTGACGCAATATTTATAACTTATAAAAAATCCTAACAAACAATATTATAACTATATGTAATTTACAATTTACGTTTCAGTCATTGGCTATGATTATAAACTCGAGATACATTTTATAGGAAGTTTCCATTGAATCTATGCAGTTATTTCGTGAATTAATCGTCATCGTTGCTGGTGACAAGATATACAACACGACATGCCAACTCGGAAAGGTCGTAAAGTTTCATTCACGCGGAAATCACGCTCGCTGAGGTGCAATTGGCCGGAGCCATYCGCATTAAATGGTGATGTGATACGGATTGCGCGAGAGGAAATGCAGTGAAATGATCGATAGGTTGCACRATCTACCGTGGACAGGTGATGTATCAAATGATTGTTTTCAGTCTTAAATTGCGCGAAACCATTATTCTATATAATATCGTAATTACAAAAACATTGACACGRKGCTTACAACTTAGTAGTTGATTTGAATTTGTATTCAAATATACTTAAGATTGAAAATTTCTGTTAATAAACTCTCCACTTAAGAACAGCAGGTTTTTTTTACATTGGAGAAGCAATTTTAATATTCCTAACGAATATAAGATTGTTCGAACGTATACCAATAATGCTATATTACCCATATTATACTGCGGAATACAAACRATTTTACTCTATTTTTCATATTTGAATACCTTTAATTTAAAAATGGCATCAATAGTAAACTAAAAAGTTATATTTAAAATATAATTGATAATACTACAAAAAATAATTTAGCCTTCAACAGTTTATTTTAACATACACGTATTTAATTATTTTTATATTTTTAATAATATCTATGCATGATGTTTAGGTTTGATTGGCAGTTTTTTAGTTAATTATGTTAACGGTCCTTAAGTAAAATTCATTAAATTTAAAACTATTAATAAACAGTATGTGTTGTAGACGTATTT